ACTTCACAATGAACATCATCTTTTTGTACATAGATATCATCTAATACTATTTGTTGAAATAATATAGCTTGAAACACTACAGAGTTCCGGTACGGTGAATGAGTTTTACATGTGCTCATTCAAAGATTCAGAGATTCAGGGTAGCAATATATTATCTTGATCTGATGTTCTTATATTATTCCACGCATCACGGGGTTCATTATGAACATAATTTTTTAATATACGATTTAATACTATTTATCAAGCCTGAAACATTACGGAGCTGCTGTGCGGTACGGGACTTACTTATGACGCTTCAAAATTTTCAACATTCATTCTGTCAATATATTATAAATTTTATGTTCTTGTATTATTATTGCGCAATGCGGCGATCATTATGAATGCAATTTTTTTGTATACAAATATCATCTAATATTACTTATCTAGCCTGAACATTACATAGTTCCAGTACGGGGCATGAGGTTCACATGTGCTCCTTCAAAGTTTCGTACATTCACCGCATCAGTATATTATATATCTCAACCTGATGGTCTTATATTATTCTAAGCATCACGGGGAATATAATTTTTTAATGTATAACGACGATCTAATATTATTCATCAAGCCTGAAATATTACGGTGCTCTACTGCTATACGCGGCTTACATATGATAATCCAAAATTTTCGACATTCATTCTGTCGACATATCATGTCAATTTTATTGTTTTATATTATTCTACGCATCGCAGGGATCACTCAATTTTTTTGTATATGGACATCATCTCGTATTATTTGTCAATCGAGCCTGAAATATGACGGAGTTCCGGTACGTAGTATGAGGTTTACATGTGCTCTTTTATAGTTTTCTACATTCACTCCTACAAGGTTTCACCGTATCAATATATTATTTCGATCTGATGGCCTTATATTATTCTACTTTACACAAAGTTTATGGAAAACACAATTTCTTAATGTATAACAACCATCTAATGTAATTTATTATTCATCAAATATACGGTTCTCCGATACGGAATAAGGTTCACATATGTTCATTCAAATTAAAATGCATTCGCCGTATCAATATATTATATCTATCTGATGGTCGTATAACATTACAAGAAACACAAGATTTTCGGGAAACACAATTTTTTAACATAAAACGACGATCTAATAATTTTTGTACATGAAATATTACGATTCTCCGATACCGTATGGGGTTTGCATATGCTCATACAAAATTCAATGCATTCACCGGGTCAACATATTATCTCGAACTGATGGTCTCATATTATTCTATGTAGTTCATGGTTTACTGAAAACGCAATTTTTTAATATAGAACGACGATATAATATAATATATCGATGATCAAATTACGGCTCTCCTATACCGGTATGAGTTTTACGTATGCCCATTCAAATTGAAATTTAATCGCCGTATTAATATATTATCTCGATCTGATGGACTTATATTATTCTACGTAACACAAAGAACACGAAAAACATACTTTCTTAATATAGAGAAACAATCTAATGTAATTTGTCAATCATACTTATATTACGGCTTCCGGACAGTTATGAAGTTTATGACCGTATGCTCCTTCAAATTTTAGTACATTCACCTTATCATTATTATATATTATTATATTATTTCGATCTGATTGCCTTGTATTGTTCTATGTATCCAAAGAATAACGAAAACATATTTCTTTAATATATAGTAAAGATCTAATATAATTCATCGATCATACAATTATTATGGCCATCGGTGGGTTATGAGTACATTAACCGTATAAGTATATTATCTCGACCTCATAGTCTTATATTAGTCTTATATAAGAATTTAATATTATTTATCGAGCCTGAAATATTACGGTGGTCCTGTACAGTATGGGTCTTACAAATAACAATTCAAAATTTTCGACATTCATCCCGTCAATATATCATTTCAAATTTATGTTCTTATATTATTCTACGCAACGCGGCGATCACGATAAACGCCATTTTTTATACATAATCGTAACATCTAATATTACTTATCGAGCCGGAAATTTTACGTATCTCCGGTAGGGCACGTTGCTTTCATATGATTCATTAAAATTTTTATCATTCTTTCTGCCAATATACCATATCGATTTTATTGTCTTATATTATTCTACGCAACGCGGGGACAACGATGAACACCATTTTTTTGTATATAAATAAAGTATAATAATCCTGTGAATCATAACGATTCAATCGAATCAATATAATTACACCTTATATGTTGTTCGTTGTACATTACTCATAATTCGTTAGACGTTAAATCAATACATGTAATTCCCGCTATTCGTTATAAGTCCCATGTTTTCTCGCTATACGTAATACGTAATACGTTATACGTTGCATAAATTTCATCATCTGTTTATTACCATACGTTATACGTTACACGTTACACGTTACTCATAACACGTTATACATTATTCATATTATGTCATAGGTTATACTTTACACTTTATACATTATTCGTTTTACTTTATACATTGCACATTGTACGTTACACGGTATAACGTTTCTTGTTATGCGCTGTATGTTATGTTATACGTTATATGTTATACGTATCACATTATACGTTGTACATTATAACGTTTTGCGTTATACGTTGCATATTAAATGTTACGCGAGTCGTTATGAGTCGCATCCCAGCTCATCAAGTGAGGAAAGTACTCACGGTGTCGTGCAGTTTTGCAACCATTTTTGCCCAGCTGATGCGTACGTCCAACTTTGGCATAGAAAACATTCGTTATGGCTCAGGAAATTAGTAACTCTGGCTCTATGTGACGTCATCTCAAAGATCATTAGAATGAGCTTATACCGTAGATGCGTTGTCATCTTCTCTGGTTCTGATATGCGTTCGGCTCTCTCGTCGAACAGAAAACGGCTTACGCCTCCTTACTTATAGAATTCGTGTACGAATTTTCTATCATAATATCACGTATGTGGCATTTATTACGCGAAATATCGATCAAGCAAACGATTGAAAAAGCTGTGCAGCTATGTCTGCACCTTCTTGTCACAATCATACTGGAGATCTGCAGAAATGTTCGCACTATCTGTCTCTAATGAACAATAGGAATCGTAGAATCACTATACCGATCGACTATACCGAATACACTCAATGCACAACAATTAGCAAGCGAAATGGAGTTCTGGTTAAAAGAAGCAAGACGCAGTGAACCACGTAAATCGATCAAACTAACAACAGACTAACCATCAACTCTATAAAGAAACCTAACCATCAACTCTATAAAGAACTCAAATTATCCGAACACACAACGAGGAAAGATACCGCTCAGGATACACCAAATAACGCCGGTCGAAAAGCCCGAATCAACGTAATCCTAAGACAACTGCAGCACATTCGAATTTAGGACTGATAAACAGGTCTTTGGTCCTACGCTCCTAATTTCTACGTCTCCTACAGTGAATGGCCAGTGCCGTAGATTTTCTTGGATTTATCCTACAATTTTTTGATTTTGATTCCCTATTGTATGGCGATAGTTAATATTGTGTTACTTGTTTTTTGATAATTCCATCTCTGCCTGTTACTCTTTTTGATGAGGTTGTGAAGTAGTAGGTCGGTGATTAAATTTTGGGTTACCGGTCGAGTGGCGCTGTGAAATGAATTGCGGATTGGCTGATAAAGGTCTCTAATTTCTATTGTTACTGTGGTGGAAAGGTTGTCGTTTATTTTTTTCTTGCTACAAAATTTTGTGAACATGCCCCAGTCTGTTATTGCTTACATGTTGGTTTGAAATTTTACGTGTAACGGTTTGGAGTATGGGTTCAATTGGGATATGATTTGAGGAAAGGTCATCTTATGTATGACAGTCGAAAAGATAGGGGACGTTAGTAAAAAAGATGTCTGACTTTGATGGGATACACTTGAGCTATTTCTACGTATATGTTAGGTCAAGGATGATTTGGTACTTGTGTAATTCATGTTTGTGGATCCGTTAGAATTTCATTTTATATTGTTACATATGAGATGTTTCGCGTTGAAGTCACCGCGTATAATATAGTGTCCGTTACCATGTGGCTGAATAATAGAGAAACATTTTTTTGAGAGACGCATAGGGAACTCTTGTGATTAAGAGGAAGGTTTTAATTTTGACTGTTTTCTTCCACGAGAAGATTTCTATAGATCATACTAGATGAATGATTTCGTCGATCATACTAGATCATTATAATATGCTGAAAAATGATGTTCATCGCGATCACTGTGAAGAATAATATAAGACCATTATTTCGATATAATATATTGATATGTATGTGAATGTCATAAAATTTGAAGAAGCATATATAATCCTCGTACCGAAAGTCCGTAACATTTGATAATCAACAAATAATATTAGAACGCTATAAAAAAACGGTGTTCTATAATATATTGATACGGCGAATGTCATAAAATATGATAGCGTAACACGTTGCATTTTTATTAAGGCTATTTTCGTAGATTTAATAAAAAAATGAGAACAAGTGAATGAATTTCACGAGTGATCATTTCACAATATGATTCACTAAACTGTTAAGTTTTATAAAGAGAGAAAAAAAAAGATTGGACTTTAAAAGAAATAAAACTTTATACAACAATTCACAGAACGATTCAAGGTAATCATGAAGAAAGTTCGAGTTATAATTTAAGACTGAGGCTTTATTTGTGGTTTATGTTCTTTTATAATGTTGGGTGTGCACGAAGTGGGGGCTGTGTGTACGGACCTGGATCGCTGAATCTGTTGACCGCTAATTTTGAGAATAGATAAGGTGATCTGAGATTAAGAATTCAGAGAATGGCTTGAAGTCTGCATTTTATCGGTGGGAAAAAATTTTTAACTGCTGACTACATTCTTCCGTTCTTAGACTGTGATTCGTTTCGAAACGAAGCGGACTGATTTTCGAGTAAGTTTTATGTCTACCAAGTCGAATTCAGGTGATATGAGGCGTAGCTGGTCACATTCGTTGGTAGTTGGAGCTGGTGCATTTAATTATGGACTAGGATGTTGGATTGGCTGTATAGCTTAAAATATTTATACATAATGTGTGCGAATGCATTTTGATAGAGACTGACAACATTTACATTTGTAGAGTATATAAAGTATGATTGCGCCTATAGAAATGTAGTCTAATATTTGTAATGTGAATAGCCCTGTTTGTTTTAAAGTTCTGATTCGTTGTTCTGTTTTTACTTGATTGATTTGTGAATTAATTTGTTGCAATGACATCTTATAAATATTGAAATTTGGATTCATCTTAGGAGTGGTTGAGAGCTGTTCACTAATTAAGTTGAGTTCGGCTAAGGTGTCATTGTCAAATTACCGATTTCTTTATACTTTGTCTTATATCTCGTATGGTCTGACCGGCCTATTTTTAGATTGTTGCTATATGTTAGTGTACAACTCTCGTCGCTTGATAATTGATTTAGTTCTTCAATGTTAGTATTCTACTTGTTCCGCATAGGGCTTTTAAATTTATTTTGTGTTCTGGAATAACAAGATAGTTATTTTCAGTTTCAAGGGGTATGAATGTTAACACATTAATTTTAAGATTACATAGTTACAGTTTTTTGGTGAGATGGAATGGTCCATTAATTCTAATTCGCAGTCTTTCATACTTGTTTTGCTATTAGATGGATATGTGATATTGCGTCTTTGTAAACTTTTTACAACATTTATTCATACAGTTCTTGTCGACTGGGAGGTTGTCGCTACCAAAAACTATTGGTTTTTCAATTACGGGGGCCATTAAAATTTTGTCTCTCTGCGTCGGTATAGGATAAATTAATTTTGATAATTTTAAATAATTTAAATTATAAATAATTTTGATAATTTTCCATTCTCTATCTTCTAAAAGTGGTACTCTAATAAAATATAACAATTTCTTGTTTCGGATTGAAGCTTGTCTAGTAATGTTTTGGCGTGATATGGTTCGTAAGGAAATTTCTTATCAGTTATTTGTTTAATGTAGTGGAAATTGATTTGCTTTGACAAATTGGGGGTTATAATTCCGCGTTTTCCTAAGATTATGGTTTTGATTATTTCTTCTGTGTTTACGTGTAATTCGAATATTAGGAATTCAGTATGAATGAGGAGAGACGTCAGTATTTCATCTTTGTGCACGGTGTTGATTAGGTCTTGCAAATTGCTGTTCATTGTATTTACAATCTGTAATCTCTCGTCATCCAGAACTTGTTTAATAAGAACCGATTGATTTGCTATAATTATTTTCATATTGTTATTAAAATCGAATAATTTATCTATGTTCTAATTTATTAAGGTCAAATCATCTTCGTCTAAGGTTCCAAATAAACTTTTAGACACTAATCTAATTATATTTAGGAAACCTCGTTTTGATCGTGTGTGTAATGTTAATTTTAATTGTTCTTGATTTTTATAAAGCCGTTATTTAAGCTACGAATCTCATTCTTATAACTGCAACCTTTGCAACTTTCATCTAATTTTTCTATACTCGCTTTTATTATTGATGGTTGTCTAAGTAATTCATTAATGTCCAAATTGTAACTTGAGCTTATAGAAATAACATACTGCTATAATCTCAAGAAATACAGAGTTTTTGCCTAATGGTTTTATGTATCTCGCAATTAATTAAGCTGTCGTAGAGCAGGATGGCAATGAACGTTGGGCTGAAAGAAAAAGTTTTAGTCTATTACCGTGAATTTTTATAATCCTTTTACGGCGATCAAATATTATAGTATAATTTGGGGGTGAGGCTGTTAATACTGTCGCTGGTCCTAACCATTCAGTGTCTAATTTATTCGCTTTGTGGTCGGTGTGCACCATTACTTTATCTACTGGATTAATGATAGTCTGATTCCGCACGATTCTACTGTCTTGTATCCTTTTATCTTTTAACTTTGTTTTTTCAGTTACTTTACGTGCCTGAACTATGTAAACATAATGTCTTTCTAATGTTTGAAGATTTTTCGTCGCATTCTAGGGTGCAAATGTTTGCTATAGTTGAGAGTGTGTTGTTTCTTCTGTTCAGGTGTGTACTTTTGCGGTTTGTTACGTCCAAATGCGATTTTATCTTTGATCTTTGTACTGAGGAAAATTAATATCAGTAATATAGTTACACGTTCATGTTCGGTTATCGTGTCATAGTCTATGCCTATGTTTTTTGATTTATTGTCTTGAATGACTTTAGTAAGGATTTTAAGTTCATTCATGTTCGTTATATGTCCCTAAAACTGATCATTCATTTTAAGTCATTCATGTTCGTTATATGTCCCTAAAACTGATTTGGTTAACTGAAAATAGATTTCTTTGTTATCTTTCTCTTTAATGTGAGTTTCTTGTGGTGTTATTTCTTGCTTAAAAAGTCGGTATTCGTCAATGTAATTTGTTGATTCTTCTTCCACAAGTTCAAGTTCTGCGATCAAATTTTCTATGTCTGTTAGAGATAATTCGCCATGTATAATTTCGTCGAGATTCAGTGATTGTGGAATAAGTGCGTTATCTGTTATTTCTTTAAACTGGAATTTCCGGTATCGGATCTTGTCGAGATGTTAAGCCAATTGGTTCGGTCAATGGATATAAGCGTGATAAGGCGTCCGCGGCGGCGTTCCCTTTTCCTTTTTTATATTCGATGTCATAATCGTATTCTTCAAGTATTAATCTCCAGCGCATAAGGAAAAGTCTTTTATGTTTTTAAGCTTGTTGGTTTTTAATGCTTGTTGGTCTGTTTGAATGATAAATTTTCTACATGAGTAAATA